TGTGTGTTTTGCATTATATGCCAAACATGTCTCAGCATGGAGTTGTAGAGGTTCCTAATGGTGCGCTGCAACAATCCATCTTAATTGTCTTGAATAGTCTTGCAGTTATCTATTATCCAGAATTGTCCTGTTGGAATAGTGCACTGGATTGTCTGCTTTGGAAAAGGTTGCAGGACATCAATATAATAACATTGGATTATATACATATATTTTTTTATATCATTTATTTTTTAATTGTCCCACTCTTTCAATTTCTACTCAGCTGTACAGCTCTGGGGAAAAAATAAGAGAGCACTTCAGTTTCTGAATCAGTTTTTTCTGATTTCACTATTTATAGGTTTATGTTTGAGTAAAATGAACATTGTTGTTTTATTCTATAAACTACAGACAACATTTCTCCTAAATCCCCCCCCCCCAAAAAAAGATCGTCATTTAGAGCATTTCTTTGCAGAAAATGAGAAATGCTCAAATTAACAAAAAAGATGCAGAGCTTTCAGACCTCAAATAATGCAAAGAAAACAAGTTCATATTCATAAAGTTTTAATAGTTCAGAAATCAATATTTGATGGAATAACTGGTTTTTAATCACAGTTTTCATGCATCCTGGCATGTTTTCCTCCACCAGTCTTACACACTGCTTTTTTATAACTCTATGCCTTTACTCCTGGCACAAAAATTCAAGCAGTTCAGCTTGGTTTGATGGCTTGTGATCATCTTCCGGCGCCGACGCGAGTGGCTGCCTGTTCCAGTAGCTCCGTCTCTTTGTGTGTTTTTCTGAGTTTTTTTTACGTTTATTTATCGTCTCTGTGCTACTACACACGTCTAGTGTGCATCTTATTTATATCCTAAGGATATTTTTGGTGTAAATATGCGGGGCAGCGAGGAATACCGTGTTTATTCCCGGGAAGAACTGCTAGCCCTCCGACCCGCGGGACGTGGGGGCATTGTCCACACAATACCGGATGATCTGAGAAGGAGGTACCGAGGTTGCAGGGCCGGCGCTATGCTAAAGGCTAAGCTAAAGGCTAAGAAGTCGGAGCAGCGCTGGAGGTACAAACCCTCAGTTCCGTCGGTGGTTATGGGGAATGTTAACTCACTGACCAACAAAACCGACGAGCTAGCCTGTCTGGTGAAGAATCAGAAGCTCTACAGGGAGTGTAGCATGCTGTGTTTCACCGAGACCTGGCTCACCCCCGACACGCCGGATGCTAACGTGCAGCTACCCGGCTTTTCTTCAGTGAGGGCGGATCGGGACCCGGTGCTTTGCGGGAAGCGGAAAGGTGGAGGAATCGCGCTGTTTATTAACAACAGATGGTGCAACCCTGGACATGTGTACGTGAAGGAGGTGATCTGCTGTCGGGATATTGAACTGTTAGCGGTGAGTCTCCGACCTTATTACATGCCGCGGGAGCTCTCTCACGCGATCCTCGTGTGTGTTTACATCCAGCCGAGAGCGGACGTGCAGGCGGCGTGTGACGTCATCCACTCCACCGTCGCAGCGCTGCAGACACAGCACCCTGACGCCTTCTATGTGATCACTGGTGACTTTAATCACGTAACGCTGGACTCTACCCTGCCTGCCTTTTTCCAGTTTGTGGACTGTCCCACCAGGAAAAACAGGACCATAGACTTGCTGTATGCAAATGTGAAGGATGCATACAGGGCTATTCCACTACCACCGCTGGGGAAATCAGATCACAATCTGGTGTTCCTGCAGCCTCAGTACAAACCACTGGTACTGAGGCAGCCCACTACCACACGCTCATTCAGAGTCTGGTCTCCTGAAGCAGAAGAAGCCCTAAGGGACTGCTATGACACCACTGACTGGAGCGTGCTGCTGCACCCACATGGTGAGGACATTGAGGGGGTGACTCACTGTGTTACGGACTACTTGAATTTCTGTATGGATGTTGCTGTTCCCACAAAGACTGTACGCTGCTTTCCAAACAACAAACCCTGGATTACCAGCTCCGTCAAGGACCTCCTCAACCAAAAGAAGAGGGCGTTCAAAGACGGAAACTTGGTAGAGCTGAAGCGCGTACAGGGGGAACTCAAGGTACGTCTTAAAGAGGCCAAGGAGTCTTACAGGAAGAAGGTGGAAAGAAAGCTGCAAGACAACAACATGAAGGAAGTCTGGGGTGCAATGAAAACCATCACTGGGTGCAAGAACAACAACGGCAACCCAGTAGATGGCGGTGTGGACAGAGCAAACCAGTTCAACAACTTTTACAACAGGTTTGACTGTCCTGCTCCTGCTGCCCCCTCCTCCTACCCTCCTGCAGCATCACCAACATCTTCTCCATCTCTACCATCATCACCACCATCTCCATCACCTTCAACTCCAACTCCACCATCTTCATCACCACCACCATTACCCTCACCTCCATCTTCATCAACATCATCACCGTCATCATCACCACCACCACCACCACCCTCACCTCCTCCATCATCATCTTCATCACCATCAGCACAATCACCCTCACCTCCACCATCTTCATCAGCACCATCATCACCCTCACCTCCACCATCTTCATCATCACCACCATCAACACTATCAACTGGCAGACAAATCATCTCCTCCAGTCCACCAACCTTTACTGCTGACCAGGTCAGGAGACAGCTGAGGAGACTTCACCCCAGGAAGGCAGCTGGCCCGGACAGAGTGTGCCCCAGAATGCTCAAGGCTTGTGCTGTTCAACTGGGTGAGCCCCTCCAACATGTTTTTAACCTGAGTCTGCGTATAGGGAGAGTTCCTGCCACGTGGAAGACAACCTGTCTCATTCCTGTTCCCAAGAAGGCACACCCGAAGGAGCTGAATGACTACAGGCCTGTTGCTTTGACATCTCATGTGATGAAGACCATGGAGCGACTGCTGCTGGACCAACTCAGACCTCAGGTCCACCATGCTGAGGACCCACTGCAGTTTGCGTACCGGGAAAAGGTGGGAGTGGAAGATGCCATCCTCTATCTCCTGCACAGAGCTCACTCTCATCTGGACAAGGGGGGAGGTGCTGTGAGGGTCATGTTCTTCGACTTCTCCAGTGCCTTCAACACCATCCAGCCCCTACTACTGAGAGACAAGCTGATGGAGATGGAGGTGGATATGCACCTGGTCACCTGGATCACTGACTACCTTACTGGGAGACCACAACATGTCAGGATCAGGGACTGCTCCTCTGATACAGTGATCAGCAGCACAGGAGCACCACAGGGGACTGTTCTCTCTCCAGTCCTGTTCACACTGTACACATCAGACTTCAAATACCACTCGGAGTCATGCCACATGCAGAAGTTCTCTGACGACACTGCAATTGTGGGGTGTGTGCGTAATGATGATGAGAGGGAGTACAGAAGCCTGGTTGAGGAATTTGTGATGTGGTGCAAGATGAACCATCTGCAGCTGAACATCTCCAAAACCAAGGAGATGTGCATAGACTTCAGGAGGTCCAGGCCCTCTGCTCAGCGGCCAATCTCCATCGAGGGGGTCGACGTGGAGGTGGTCAAATCCTACAAATACCTTGGTGTGCACCTGGACGACAGGCTGGACTGGTCAGTGAACACTGACTCCCTCTACAGGAAGGCTCAGAGCAGACTGTACTTCCTCAGAAGGCTCAGGGCTTTCAACATCTGCCAGAAACTCCTCCTGATGTTCTACCAGTCTGTGGTAGCCAGCGTCCTCTTTTACACTGTTGTGTGTTGGGGAGGCAGCATCAGCAAGAGGGATGCTGGACGACTGGACAGGCTGGTGAGGAAAGCTGGTTCTGTGCTGGGATTAGAGCTGGAGTCCTTAACACCACTGGCAGAGAGGAGAGCCCTCAGTAAGCTGCTGAACATCATGGACAATGTTCACCACCCTCTGTACAGCACCATCACCAGGCAGAGGAGCTCATTCAGCGGCAGACTGCTGTCCCAGTCCTGCTCCACAGACAGACTCCGAAAGTCTTTTGTTCCTCAGGCCATAAGACTGTTCAACTCCTCTCAGCACAGCAAACTAAAGACTCTGTGAAACTTTTTCATTCCGGCCACTCTGGCCACACCATGGACACACCCCCAGCTATGGACACACTCTCAGACTTGCTGATGCCTAGAACACTTTTTATAGTTCTACCATATTTTGCACTAGTAGTTCATTCACTAGTTAATTCATCTACTGTTTACGTATCTTTTGCACTGTTTACGTATCTTTTGCACTGCTTAATTTAATTTAAATTATTATATAACTGTGTATTTGCACTTTCTTTTTGGCTGACATCAGTTATCCTCACATTATGCACATCAACTGGTGTTCATTGTCTATTGTGTTCAACTGCACTACCTCCATTCTCCATCTCCATTACACACACACACACGAAGACTGTACATTTACACTGTATATTCTATTTCTTATTTGATTGTATTTATATGTATCTTTATATTTTATATTTTATCTTTTTTAACTTTGTGTATTGTGTAACCTGCTGCTGGATGCCAAGAATTTCCCCCCGGGGATCAATAAAGTATCTATCTATCTATCTATCTATCTATCTATCTATCTATCTATCTTTCTCTTGATTATATTCCAGAAGTTTTCAATTTGGATATCTCCCATCACTGGTGATGCAAGGAGGGTGAAGACTAGCACATGCCTCTTCCTACACATGTGAAGTCAGCCACCGCCTCTTTTCAAACAATGCATCATTGCCGAGTAGCATCACAGTGCACTCTGAGAAAAGAGCAGCGACTTGGTTTTGATAAGCCTTGTGCTGATCGACATCTCCCTAGGAGTGATGAGGGGAAAACTGGCAAGCTGCATAACCTGGATTTGAACCAGCAATCTCCCAATCATAGTGGTAGTTTTAGCTTTAGACCGCTGGACCGCTCAGTGCCTACACCTGACATTATTGATGACAGTCTGGCACAACTAACTACCCACCACATTTCACTCCTGTCAGTTGATTACTTCTTGAAGCAACACACTGTTGCACTGTTGACGATGAGTGTATAATCACAAATATTAGTGTCTACACTGTACCATCTTTGCGGACGTCTGCAGGGACGTTGGAGATGTTCAGCTCCTCGATATCCAGCTGCCAGAGGTTGGAGAGCTGGCCAAGCTCAGAAGGAAGCTCCTGGATGCCAGGATTACTGGAGAAAGTGAACCAAACAGAGATATTAGATTTTTTTAAAGCATATTTAAGTTGTATTTAAACGTTAAACGTATATAGATAAATACACTATATGAACAAAGGTAATGGTGCAACTGCATTTCTTTTGAAAAACAAGGCAATTACAACAGTTTATCCTGCTTTTGTTGAAGTAACTGTCTCTACTGTTCTAAAAAGGATTTCTACTAGTTCTGCTAAAGTATTGCTGTGAGGATTTAATTGCATTCAGTGATGAGTAAGAGCTAGTGAGGTCAGGATGCTAAATGATGACCATTACCAACATCCTCATTGACATGGAAGGAGCACCATTATTATTCCACAGAACACAGTTCCCTATACTACACAGCTCAATTTACATTACACATATGTCCAAATGTTTGTGGATGCTACTTGTGTAAATGCCTGATATGCACTTACACAACACATACCTGCACTACTGCCTTTACTTGTACATGCCCATTTTAATTCCCTCTACATTGTAGAGTCTACAACTATAACCTTAAAATAACTTTAGCACTCATTCACTTTTTCCAGTCTTAAACATTAATACCACTATATTTGCACTACTATTTATATGGGTTCTGTTTATACTAGTACTGCCATTCCCTCTTTAACCCTAACTAACTCATACATAACTGGTGCACACTCACTCTAAAATTGCATTATTGTCTCACTTCCTTTTGTCTCACATATCTCTATATCTGTGACCTTGTTTTGCGTCTATTATTTTTTCTATTAGTTTTTTATTTTATTTTTCGCACTTTAATTTCATACAATTATACCGGATAATAAGTAAATTTCAGTCGATTTCCAGATTTCCACTAAGGATGAGTGCAGCAGTAGTATTATTATTAGCGGCTAACCGATAGCGCTAACAAGGGTTGGCAGCTAACGCAGTCCAACAGCGCTACACTGAGGAACAATGAGTGTTCCCAGGGCGATATTAGCAAGTGTTTTATCCTACATAGAGTGTTTTAACACGGTAAACACGCAGACTACAGTTTAGCACGGTTAGCGGCTAATGCTAATGCGTTCCAGTCTCGGTTCCTCAGGCTAAACTGAAACTCTTGTATAACGCTGTACTTCAGTGGAGTGGCTTTACTGCTCCTTACAACCTGACTGCTAAAATTCAAACATAAGGCTTACCTGATTATAAGACGCACTGACAATGTTTGGCAAAATTAAAGAATTTTAAGTGCGCCTTACAGTGCGAAAAATACGTGTTGGACTTTAGTCAACTATGTCTGTTTTTTTTTTTCTGCTGTAACTTTGGGAAGGAGAGTAACGCAATTTCAATCCTCTGTATGCCCTGTACAGATGCAGTACTGACAATAAAACCACTTACCCCAGTACCCCAATACCTCAGTGTTGAGTTGTGGAGCAGTAAAACTGTGTTCTCTGGAATGATGGTGCTCCATCCAATACTTTTGGGATGAATTGCAAATAAAATCAGCTCTTGACCACTCCAATCTACACCCAAAAACTACACCTCCCACAATCCCATTCTCCAACAGTGACTCACTTGGACAGATAGAGCTCGGAGAGGTTTTTGAGGAAGCACACGGACGGAGGCACACACTCCAGCTGGTTGTCGTTCAGGAAGAGAACTTCCAGCGAATCCCGCAGGATTTCGGGAAACTGGACCGGACAGGCTGCCAGAAGAGAGCAGGAGAGAGTTAGTGCAACCACACGCTCTGCAGCAGCACACTGATCACCGGCCATAGAAGGGCATGGAGAGCGGCTGCGGTATTGAATGAAAGAAGGGGAATATTTCTCCCGTGACTGAACTGGCTAAAGTTAACGGCTGTGCAGCGAAGTGAAGTGAAGATGATGGGAATTTTAAATTGGTGTTGAAGACTTTCACTAATGCCACCTTACAAGGCAAACGTGGCTTTGTTTAATTAGAGATAGCAGCAGTCTAAACTAGGAGATCAAACAACATGTGTGATTACCAGAGACTCTAAAATTACATACTTATAGCCAAAATAGTACACCAGAAACACCAGAGCGAGCCTGAAGGCACTATATTCCAACCATCAACCAGTGGAGAAAAGGCCCTTAGGAACACGGGTGTGGCATATTGCATCATATGCAATAGGGGTGGGTGATATGGCCCTAAAATAATATAATTACATATCAAGGTATTTTTGTGTCAACAATATTCTTTAAAAAAATTCAGCAATAAACTACTGCAAAAAATAAAAAATAAAGTTTATTTGGTGATGGTATTGCATATTATACTATATGGCACAACCCTAATTGAGATTTTCACTAGACTGTAACAGAAGTCAATCATCCAACATATCATGATAGTAATAACACACTCCATATATTAATTAGAGAATTAAAGTAAAATTTGTCATACAAAAAAAGCTGTCCTCTGATGGCCCATATGTGATATTAAATAATATATTTATTACTGTATTTTATTTATTTATTTTTTATTTTTATTTTTTACTAAAAGGCGCACCGGACTATAAGACACACTAGGGGTGGGCAATATTATATCGTATACAATATATTGTGACACAGAAATATCATGATATTAAAAATCCATATCGTGATAATAGGGCTGTTCTGTCTTAAAAGTAGTCTATTACTTACTGTGAAGCATTAGGTTTATTTATTGTATAATTGTTTTAGTTTGCAGTTTATATGCATGCACTAAATATTCTGCTGCATTATATTATTTTATGCTATATTATTTATTTTGCCACATTATGATTATACTGTTATACTATTATACTATATTCCTGAAATGAATAAATTATTTTAGTTTTCCTATATCGCCAAGTATATCGTTATCGCAAAAATACCCTGAAATATCGTGATATTATTTTAGAGCCATATTGCCCACCCCTAAGACACACCATCAATGAATGTCTATTTTCTGGTCTATTTCCTATCTATTGGTCCAAGGGTGAGTTTTTAGTAAAGTTTCTCCAGCACTAAGGTTGGGTGCAGCAGCAATAACATTATCGAGAACACTAGATAGCACTAGACTAGGGAGTGTTTGAGTGTTCCAGTAACCCAGGGTGCTTTTAGCTAGGGGTTCGTCCCACGTAGCTTGTTTTAACACGGCAAACAGGCAGACTATAGACCAATAAAATCCTCTCTGAACAGCCAAAGAGCTAGCGCTGAAATTCTTAATCATTCAGCAAAATAATAATTACCCAAAAGCCAAATATTAATTCTGACTGACTTTAATTTACTTTAATTTTATCTGTTCCAATACTTTTGCTCATTCGAAAAATGTGTGGGTTCAGACAGAAGGTGCTGAATCTTCTGAACTGTGTGTCAGATCCAGATGTAAATACCTGAAATAAAAGCTGAAATCTTTGATCTTTTGTCTCATAATAATCTTTTAATATCAAACCCAAATGTTTTTAGCAAGCTTTGCCACAGAGATATTATACAGTCTCCAATATATTCAGAGTGTAACTATGTAGTAAATGTACTGATTCTGAATGAAGGCTTGGCTGTACTGTACCTGGCTCTGGGTCTCTGCGGGTCCACGTGGTTAAGAAGGGAAGTCTTCTGGTCTTGGTGTTTTCCACTGTCCTGAAACCAACAGCGTTAAAAAGCAGAACTGCAGCATCAGATCATTAGAAACTGTGTGTGTGTGTGTGTGTGTGTGTGTGAGCGACCTACTTCCCAAGCTGGTTTCTGGACAGGTCTAGTGTTCGGAGTTGAGAGCATTTCCATTTGTTGGAAGCAGGGAGAGCTGAGATTTGATTGCCACACAGCTTCAGGGAGACGATGGCCTGGAGGAATGACAAACCCACACACACACACACACACAAATATACACACACAGACACACACTCTAATGAGTCGAACTGGGACTGCTTAAATCTGGATGTAAAGATGTGTCTCTCGTTATAGACCAATAAGAGTCATTTATAGTGTTTGTATGTAAAGATTATTCTATACACACCCACACAGATGAAGAAGCCTGCAGCACAGGCCCACACACACACACACACACACACAACTGCATGCAGCACAAATATTCAGCTGCAGATTATACCCTTCCTTTCACATGCAGAGCAAACGTATTGAGTAGTGCACGCAGGCCTCCGCTGAGAGCAACAAACCCAACAAACGCAACCTGAGTGTGTAAATGTTTGGCGTTCAGAGCAGCAGAGTTCTTACCTCTTCATTTCAAACTGCTCAAGCGTTTAATTGTGTTTGGGATGTTCGATCTTTTGCTTTCCTCCGACAGCCACTTTCCCTCTCTCTCATACGCAAACATTCACCTCCACTCTTCTAGTGGGGACGCATCGAAACTGAACAAAACTAAACATTTTTACATGAGTTTTATATACAGGGTTGTACAAAGAAACTGAAACATTGAATTGTGCCATAATTTGGGCAGCCGTGGTTTTCTGTTTCTTTGGATACAATCCGGGTTAGCACCCGAACATCCCTTTCAGACAGCTTCCTCTTACAGTGTCCACAGTTAATCCTGTTGGATGTGGTTGATTCTTCTTGGTGGTATGCTGACTTCACCCTGTATACCGTGGCTCTTGATGCATCACAAAGACTTGCTGTCTTGTTCACAGATGCTCCAGCAAGACGTGCACCAACAATTTGTCCTCTTTTTAACTCTGGTATTTCACCCATAATGTTGTGTGCATTGCAATATTTTGAGCAAAACTGTGCTCTTACCCTGCTAACTGAACCTTCACACTCTGCTCTTACTGGTGCAATGTGCAATTAATGAAGATTTGCCACCAGGCTGCTCCAATTTAGCCATGAAACCTCCCACACTAAAATGACAGGTGTTTCAGTTTCATTGTCCAACCCTTGTATATTTGTACAGCTTTGAAAAAAAAAAAAAAAACTACTAAACTACTATAAAAACCTGAACTTTTTTAAGATCCCAGCACACACACAAACATGCTCAATACATTGTTTCTGCTACAGTTTATAGATATTTAGCAGGTTGCTAACAGCCGGGTTAAAACTGAGATGCTAACAGATAACAGACACAGCAGCTGGTTGCAACCTTGACTGAAGCACTTTAGCTGTGATGCTGTTTTTTCTGAGCTGGATTACTTGCAGGTTGATGACAGAACAAACTCCCTATGTAAGTTTAGTTTTCGCCTTTTTTTTTTCAGCTAGGTTGCTTATTTGCCAAATATTTTCAACACTTCTCAGCTCCCAATTACTCCACCCATCTCATCAACCAACATATATTACTCCCTACCTCCACTTTCTCTACCAAAGCCATATTTCTCCACCCACACCATATCAATGATGTCCTTTTCCATCTCACTATGCCAACTCAATCTACCAATTCTGACACCCTGTCTTCACAACCAATGCCCAATACTCCACCCACATTACCTCAACTATGTCCTTTTTAATCATAGTTAAGATCAATCCCTCAATACTCCACCCACATCTTCTCAATCAATGTCTCAATATTCAACTCCACTTCCCTAAACCAATGTCCCAATACTCCACCCACATCTTCTCAATCAATGCCCCATTTCTCCACCCACATCACCTCAACCATGTCTGTTTCCATCATAGGTAGATCAAAGCGGCAATACTCCACACCATCTCCTCAATAAATGCCCCACTTCTTCACCCACATCTCCTCAATCAATGCCCTATTACTCCACCCCATCTTCACAATCAATGCCTCAATATTCAACCCCATCTCTTCAAACCAATGTCCCAATACTCTACACACATTTACTCAACCATGTCCTTTTCCATCACAGTTGAGGTTAATGCCCCAAAACTCCACCCCATCTCCTCAATAAATGCCCCATTTCTCCACCCACATCTCCGCAAGCAATGCCCCATTTCTTCACCTACATCAACTTAACCATGTTATTTTCCATCATAGTTGTGATCAATGCCCCAATACTCCACCCTCATCTTCTCAATCAACGCCCCATTTCTCCACCCACATCACCTCAACCATGTCCTTTTCCATCATAGTTTAGATCAATGTGGCAATACTCCACCCACATCTCCTCAATCAATGCCCCAATACTCCACCCTATTTCGTCAACCATGTCTTTTTCCATCATAGTTGAGATCAATGCCCCATTTCCCGATCCCATCTCCTCAATAAAAGCCCCATCTCTCCACCCACATCACTTCAACCATATAATTTTCCCTCATAATTGAGATCAATCCGGCAATACTCCACCCCATTTCCTCAACCAATGCCCCATTTCTCCACCCTTATCAACTTAACCATGTTATTTTTCCATCATAGTTGTGATCAATGCCCCAATACCCCACCACATCTCCTCAACCAATGCCCCGTACTCCACCCACATCACCTCAACCATGTCATTTTTCATCATAGTTAAGATCAATGCTCCATTTCTCCACCTAAATCACCTCAACCATGTCTTTTTCATTCATAATTGAGATCAACGTCCCATTACTCCACCGCCATTTCCCCAATCAATGCCCCAATACTCCACCCACATCTCCACAATCAATGTCCCATTTCTCCACCCAAATCACCTTAACCATGTCTTTTTCCATTAAAAGTTGTGATCAATGCCCCATTAACCCACCCCATCTCCTCAATCAATGCCCAATACTCCACGCTCAAGTCCTAAACCAATGCTCCATTATTCCACACCCATCTCCTCAACCCTGAATTGCTCCACTCAATCTCCTGAATCACTCATCATACACCTCCTTAATCAATTACTCCACCCACATCTCACTGTAAAAAAAAAAAA